ACACAAAATTATGTTCTTTTTAGCAACATCATACGACCCCTTTAATAGCCAAGCAGTTTTAGAAAAGTAGAATTAAACAGCGCTGTGGTATTAATGACAGATTACTGATATTAGAGACGGAGAGAGAAAAAGAGAATTGGAGGTCACCTCTGTAACTGAGGAATACTCCACAATGGCCACCTTCAGTACATCTATCTGTTTATTTTTCTGGAGAAGAAAGGCAGTTCTGTTATGATACTGGACAAATATCATTTAAAATGATTGCAGATTGTATAAACATACCAAATGAAATAATGATAACACTGAATGATTTTACTAATGACTAAAGCAAAATTCTTCTGTTAAGTTTTATAAAAAATCATTGTCTTGGTGATATGCAAGAGGCACTTACCTCCTGAATTATCGACTCCTTGTCAGCCAGAATGGCATCAAATGAATGAACTTGGACCTGAGTGTGCAAGAAAACATTCACCAATGACAGGGCTAAATTATTTTTTTTATTTTTTATTTTGCATTCAAGACAAATCATGAGTGAGTAAATTAAATTAAGGCCTACCTGAAGGTCAGCATTAAGGTCACGGTGGTCACTGATCTTTTTCTGAAGCTCTTCTGCCTCCAGTGTGACTTTCATGTTCTTAATATATGATGAAGGAGAAATGTGGAGGAAGGGGGATAAAGAAAATGGAAAAAAGTAATGAATGAGAACCATTCAGTAAACTACAAGTCTGACACTTAGGTGGATGGATCTGAAAATGGGTAGAGCCATACCTCCTCTTGTAGTGCAGCAATTTTGGATACAAGACTCTGGTTTTCCCGTTCCTGTAGGAAACCAGAGCGAAAGGTTATAAAAGTGTTCATATTTGTTCTAATAATATACAGGTCAACGTCAATATGTGGTCAATAAACACCAGTGTGATGGTGTTTATCCAGCACCTAGATTTGTTTACTCTGGATGTTTGCATATCCTTGGTTTATATAATATTACTATCCATCTCATTACGGACATACTGCACATTATCTGTTTGCATTAGTTTATGAGACCTAGGAGTCTCATAATATGGCTTATTAACATCGGAACAGCCATCAATGAAGTTTGTGCCTCACCATCTGCTTTCTTTGAGCTGAGGCCTGAGCTCGACTCTCTTCTGAAGAGGTCAGGTTCAGCTTCATCTCCTCAACTTCCTCTTTAAGCATCTTCTCCTTCTGTAATAACTGCTGCCCCCTGCAGGATGAGGGAACGGAGTGACGAGAGGAGAGTCTTAAGGCATGTTATGCACGAGAGAATTAATGATGATTAAGGGATTTAAGGCTTCAGAGGTTAAGGAAGACGACAGGTCAGACAGAAAGTAATAAGTCTGTACATTTTAGCTTGTGCTTTGAGCTCTTCATTTTCCTCGATGAGTTTCTGGTTGGTGTCTTCCATGTTTTCCACTGCCTGCTTCAGTTTACGAACTTCCTCCTGCAGCTTTTGGTTATTTAGCTGCAGATCTGCCACACAGAAGACCAGATCTGATGTCTCCCTGTACAGACACATACACAAATAACTGATCAAAATGCATCTCAAATGTCTGGAATGGGAATTATGTAATGATCAAAAATGTATATATTGCATATAATGTATATTTTGCAGTAATATATTAATTGCAACATTTTTGTGTAAATATTTTTATATTTTGTTTTATTTTTAGTTGTGTAAAAAGTCATACAATGGCACAAATTATTCATTTTTCAAAAGCACCCAAGCATAAACCATTAGATCAAAAGGTTTTTAAAGATCATAAGAAACTAATTGAGTCAACTGTGTCCAGAGTTTTGATAGATACAGTTGATACAGTCTCATAAACCACATGTGCACTACTGTTAACTCTTTATCTATCACAAACAAACAACTTGCACTCCTAAACTTACAGGTCAGCTCTGGAGGCTTCCCCTCCGAATGCTTCAAGACTACCTGAGGTCATATTTAGTAGAGCAGATCTTCTTGCTAAAGGAAACAAGAGGGGATTGATACAAAATTATAACAACAAAGAAAATATATGCAACATATGAAAAACAACGAGCTTTCGAGCAATCCGACATCCAAAGAAGATCTCACCTGATAAACTGTCCCGTAGTTTGAATGATTCCTGTTGGGTGTCATTCTTTGAGTCCTTCCTAAGGGAAAAGGGGAAATTTGAGATGGACCTTCAGATTTTATCTAAAAAAAACTTGTCATGAGGGAAGTGTTGGAAAGAAAGGCCTTGTGATCAAAACTGATTGTGGATTGATAGCAGACTGATGAAAATCTGCAATGTGTCTTTGGTTGGGTTGGCAACATCTACAAAAGACATACAGTACAGAATTGATTGCAAAAATAACTGCTTCCTATTAACTGACCATAGCCTTTAGCAAAATGATCAGGAGTTAAACAACCAGCAGATGTCTTCAGTTTTTTTTGTCCTGTGCAATATTTCCCAAACTAAAAAGGCCTTTATTAAAGTAAATCAATGGCAATCACTGTTGTAAAGCATAGGGTATGTACTGTATATGCATGTCTTCATACGCCTGGTTGTGGCAATCATCGATCCACTCCTTCATGATGGCATGGTACGTGTCCAGGTCTATGGAGATGTCCTTGTGCTCTGGGTCCAGCATATTGCAGAG